TTTAATTAGTTCACATCTAATTCCCGAGTTAGAAGCATAACAAGGGAGAAAATTATGTGTTACTTTTGACAACTTCGCAAGAGAAATGCCATTGGAGATTGGTAATCTTCGATGTCAAGAAGTAATGAGCTCAAGGAGTAGCTCTCTAACAGGGTCCATCCCTTCTTCAATCTTCAAGATTTCTTCTTTGAGAATAGTTGATTTAAGAAACAATAGCATGTATGGAAGTTTGCCTACTGATATGTGCAACAATCTTCCTAAACTTGGAGTACTTTATCTTTGTCGGAATCAACGTAGCGGGCAAATTCCATCCAATTTATCCAAATGCAGAGTGCTCCAAGGTTTATCATTGTCATTCAATGGCTTCAAAGGTAGCATACCAAGGGAAGTCGGCAACCTAACTATGCTCAAGGAGTTATATTTTGGTGGAAACAACTTGAAAGGTATGATTTTAATTAGTTCACATCTAATTCCCGAGTTAGCAGTTTTGATATATCTCTGAAGAAATTCCATAAGCAGAATGGAAAATTGATTATCTTGTAAATATAGCAGCGGTGGCAATTCATGTTGACGGATCATATCGATGTCGCATTAGATCTAATAGTATTATGTTATACATGTCAATCCGAATACAATTTGTTTAATAATCGTGATGGAAAACCTTGACATGAACATGACCCGTTTATTAAACAGGTAACATGACTCGTATAACCCTTAAAGAAAGGGGATGGGTAACTCATAACACGATATGACGTTAAACTATTTATTTAAACCTTTAAATAAAATGGGTCATGTGAAATGTTTTCAAGTGTAAATTGTAAAATGCAAATATAATATAAAAAAAATGATATTATGGATGACAATTTATGAAAATGAGGATAACTAGGACAATACAAATACAATTACAAAAAAAAAAAAAAAAAATACAAATAATAATACAATGTACATATTGGGTTTTTATTGAATTTTTTTTTTTTTGCATAATAATTGGATTAAAACAAGTTACCGTTAATCCTATTGAACTGACATGATTGTAACACAATTAATTTAATGGGTCTAATAGAGTTAAACAGCTTGAGCTCCCAAACACAAACATAACATGATTAATTAAACAAGTTGACACGAACATGATTTAAGTTTAACCTAAGCCGACTAATTTCATGTCATGTTGATGGGTTGTGTCCAATTTTGCAACCACTGCAGCTAAATAGCTAGGTCTTGTAAGTTTCTTTCATTTTTATTTTTATTTTTAATGAGTGTATATATACATATATATGTATTTTTTTTTTTTTTTTTTTTTTTAAAAGGTGTTCTAAATTTACTTGTAAGCATCAAGACAAGGTATTTATATCATCATACCCCGGTATTCTTACTTAACCAATTATTGTTATCAAGTAATATATTCATTACAAACAAACTAGTATAACACGGGATACATTGGTTCTAACAATTTTGCATGTGAAATTCCATCAGAGATAGGTAACCTTCAACGTTTGGAAGTAATGAGCTTAAGCAGTAGCTCTCTAATAGGGTCCATCCCATCTTCAATCTTCAACATTTCTTCTCTAAGGATAGTTGACTTCAAAAACAATAGTCTGTTTGGAAATTTGCCAGTAGATATGTGCAACCATCTTCCTAAACTTAGAAGACTTCATCTTTCTCGGAATCAGCTCAACGAACAAAGTCCATCCAATTTATTCAAATGCAAAGAGCTCCAAGATTTATTATTGTCATATAATGGCCTTAATGGCAACATACCAAGAGAAATTGGAAATGTGACTATGCTCAAAGTGTTATATCTTTGGAGGAACCAACTTGAAAAGGTATTATTTTTAAGTTCACATCTAACTCCACAAGTTATTAGTTTTGAAATGTTCCTCATGTGGAGATGAAATGACATAAGCATAATGGAAAATTGATAAACTTAAATAGGAGTATTTTCCAGTAGCAAATTGCTCAACCATATCATGCATAACACTTGCTAAATAGGTCTTGTAAGTTTCTTTTTTATTTAATTATTATTACTACTTTCTAGAAGTTTATATGTGAGGATTTTGTTTCTATTTATATTGGTCATATATAAATGGCAATGTAGGGATTGGGGAGGGTCAATTGTACAGCCTTATCCCGCATGCACATAAGATGAAGATGTTTCTGTGATTCGAACCCGTGACCTCAAGGTCACAATGTTTGTATATCATCATCACCTGTTACTCTTGTGCTTCCTAGCACGAATAAAAACATGGTTAGAACATGATAAGTGCACAACAATTCGACAAATTTACAAAAAAAAATCAAACAGGGATACAACATGGATACATAAAAATTGATAATATAATATATTATTATGTATAATAATAATAATGTTTACTCATTTTATCTATATAAGCACAAATGAAATCACTATTTTGGAGCTCAGAATTAGATGTTTATTATTTTGGTGAACGTTATAATATATTTATAATTAACCCATAATATATTTTAAATTGCATTTAATCTCAAATTTCTAAAAAAATGTAATTGAAAAATCACCTCGGTATGTCTTGGAATGTCCAAAACTTGTCTTGACATGTTCATGGCGTGTCCAATTAAAAAAATAAAATATTCAAATTTTCGGACACGACCAGTCATATCTGACACACGTCAAGATCATGTCTGTGTATTTGATACTGCAATGGCACCCCTAGGTGAAGTTTTTATCCTCTGTGGCTCTTGTGTGACTAATTATTGTTATTACGTAATTATATATTCAGTACAAGCTTATTAGTTTAACAAGGTCGAAAATTATATATGTGTTGTTTCTAACAACTTTGCAGGTGTGATTCCATCATAAATGAACTTATGTTGTATCAATGATTGTATTTATATTCATAATATTAAAGAAAATTGATAAAAAAATAATTTTTAGCCACTGCAACTTTTCACCCTTATCATTCACTGTTTTCACCTTTTATCATTTTTTATAAATGAGCTAGCTTGCATTGCATAGTTTAGTAATTGAATTTGTATAAATCAATCTGATAAAAGGAGAGGATGAACATGTAAGAAAGTTTACTCATCTACACTGATTCACATGAAGCCGAGTCCTTGAATTATGATGAAATTAAAATCACTAAACTATTAATAAAAATAAATAAATCAAATTATTCTCTACAATCATATAGATACCCTGTTTAAGACCGGCTAGGGTCTAAAACTAAAAAATATGTGCTTGGCATCCAGAATTAAAATGGGTGTTGAGCCAAACAAGCAATCCTATACTTTGGTGAAATTGGAACTGAGACCAAAATTTTGTATTTATAAAGTGAATTGTTTGACACAAAATTTCAACACCTCATTTGAAGGAAAAAAAAATAAAAATAAAAAAAAGAAAATTCAAAGCTTTTGTGATTGGTTGAAATCATAAAGCTTCATAGATTGGAAAAAACTGTACAAATATACTTGGGCATACCTATTTCAGTTAGTTAAGGGAAAAAAATTATTTTTAAGTGAACCTATTTCATTACGGTGTATTTTGATTGGATGAATGTATGAATGATGTGTATGTTTCACTCATTTCATATTTTTTCTTAAAATACACCTCGGCTGGCTTAGACAGATGACAAAATCATTTAGCTTTCAATCGACTAACACAAGAAATCACTAATTATTAAATCTTTTATTTTTCACAAATTAATCAAAAGTCAATCATACACCGAGACTATATTAGTAGAATTATCAAAATTACCTTTCATTATTATTATTATTATTATTAGAAATATCCAAAATCATACCAAACAGTGGTGCAAGGAGTTGTAGGAAAAATTTGTGTTGCGGTTGTATTACGCCGCTTGATGGGTAAAACGTATCCACAAGGTCAATCTTGACTAGTGTGGAAAACTGGGAAAACGTATCCACAGTGGGGTGGTCTATCTGACTACTGTGGAAAACTGGGAATTGTACGGCCCTAATTAATATGCCAATACAGCTGGCACCAAACTCTCCACTGTAGAATCTTGTTTTCATTCTATATATATATATATATTTTAAATAAAATAAAATAGGGTTAATAAAAGGATTGTATTAACCCTATTTTATTTAATAGGGTTAATAGGGTTAATAAAAGGATTGTTTCATGACGTAACCCTAGTTTTCTCTCTAGAACATACATGATCTCCCCAAATGTGTTTTTTTTCCAATTATATCGATTTCAATTTCAAGACGCCAAGTTTATTTAACCAAACACATAAAACTACAGATCAAAATCCAAAGTTGAAAGTTCATATTAAATAATTTAAATTGAATTTTGAATGAATGGTCACTCCTCACTAGGTTCCACAATCTCAATAACAATGATGCATGTAACTTTATATTTATTACAGTCATGTTACGTCTCGCTTGACTTCACCGGCTGGTCATGAAACAATGCAACGGGTCAAGCACTTTGAGCATTTTGTGGTTTTGCTTTATGTGGTCACACTGAGTGGCCCGGCCATCTGATTAGACTTTTGCACGCAATTATAATCAACTGTAATCAACTAGACATCCTCATAATCACCGGATCATGATTTCACCATCTTATGATTCTTCTATATATATTTAGGAACATCAGATGTCCTTCCACTTAGCTATCACCACATTCATACCAAATCAATTTATTGCGCCATTGGAGTCATTCAATCTTCTTCACCTATCACATCGATCCAGCACTGCTACTGGCCTTAAACCACAAAAGACGTCAAGTTGGGTACCCATTTTCAAGGGAAATGGAGTATTTTCCGCGGTCGTATTACGTCTTGATGGGTGAAATGTATTCAAGAGGTGACTAAAATTAATCTGACTAGTGAGCCCTGACGTGACTAAAATTTTTGGTGTGTTTCTTTTTAGCCCATCTCAGTGTTTCTTTGTTGTTGTAGTAATCTCGATTGGATAGCTAAGTGGGTGGTTGTGATCAATGAGCATAGATTATCAACTATGCATCCTCATAATCACCAGATCATGACCATGATTTCACCATCTTATATAACATTTTGCTTAGCCTTTCTTGTTTGTTAAGTCGTCCATAAGTCTTCCACATGAAACTCAAACTCATGGAGAGGACTAGCTTCTTTTTTTCTGTTGCATTGTTGATACACTCTCGTTGTTCTATGGTTTGCTTGGCTAGGTCCATTCTTCCAAACTCAACTACCGATCAATATGCTCTGCTTGCCTTCAGATCCCATATCACTTATGAACCTGAAGATGTATTAGCCAATAATTGGTCTACCACTACCCCAGTTTGCAATTGGGTCGGTGTCTCTTGCGGTCTCAGGCACCACAGAGTCACAGCCTTGAATCTGTCTCTTATGGGTCTCCAAGGTACCATCGCTCCACATCTTGGAAATCTCTCATTCCTGGCATCACTTGACATTAGTTACAACAATCTCAAAGGGTATATACCTGAAGAGTTGGCTCATTTGCGTCGATTAAAAGAAATCAATTTGGGGCTCAACAATTTGAGTGGAGGGATTCCATTATGGTTTGGGATTTTACAAAAACTCCATAAGTTGATACTGTATAACAATAGTTTCACAGGTACTGTTCCAAAATCACTATGCAACATCTCGAAGCTACATATATTGGATATCTCAAACAATTCTTTACAAGGAAATATTCCGGAAGAGATTGGTAATCTTTCTAAACTGGAAGTATTACGCTTGTACTTTAACAAGCTCACAGGTGCCATACCATCGACCATCTTCAACATTTCTTCTTTGAGAAGGATTAGTTTGGGAGGCAATGGATTGTCCGGAAGTTTGCCTGTAGATATGTGCAACAATCTTCCTAAGCTTGAAGGATTTTATGTTACTTGGAATCAACTTAGCGGGCAAATTCCATCCAATTTATACAAATGCCGGGAGCTCCAAGTTTTATCATTGTCGGCCAATGACTTCAATGGTAGGATACCTAAAGAAATTGGCAACCTAACCAAGCTCAGGGTGTTGTATCTTGGTGTAAACAACTTGAAAGGTATGATTTTAATTTCACATCTAACTATTCATTATAAGCATAACAAGGGAGAATATCATGTGTTGCTTTTGACAACTTTGCAGGTGTAATTCCATTGGAGATAGCTAATCTTCAACATCTAGAACTAATCGATGTGAGGAGTAGCTCTCTAACAGGAACCATCCCATCTTCTATCCTCAACATTTCATCATTGCAAGTTATAAGCTTCTATAACAATACACTATCTGGAAGCCTCCCAGCGACCATTCATTACAACCTTCCCTTTCTTAGAGTGCTAGATCTTTCTTCAAATCAACTCACAGGTAGTATATCCAAGAAAATTGGGAACCTTACTTCAATCAAAGGCCTGTATCTTCAATACAACTACTTGACAGGTATCTTCAAGACTTTACTACCTTTATTTCACTTCAGTAAATGTTTTCCTTGTGCATAATGAATCTGTATGAAGTTCCAAATTCAAGAGTGCTCCTAACGTTAGAGAAGCTTGTAATTTCATACATGTCATCAAATTTAGTCAGTACATTAAAGAAACATTATTCATCTTTACTTAATTTTTGTATTTTATATAAATAAATATATTACAATATTATATCTCACAAAATCTATGTCAGCACATCTTTAAATATGCAGCCTCCAATTGTTTTATTCCATTTAAAGATCAAAAGTGGCACTACAAATTTTATTCCATTTCAACCATGGAGAGAATAGATTTAAATTAAAACCATGCTTGTATAGTGTGGGTTGGTCGACGTCACAGTTTAACTAATTCTTTTTTCCTTTTATAAAAAAAGCATGGTTGTCAAAATTGTACGATTTTGAGTCGTAAAATTGCACGAGTCTACAACTCAAGCCCCCAAAATCGATCCAAATCGCACCGAAATCGTTCAGTTGGTAGAATTATGAGTGAAATCGGTGGAATCGATAGTAGAATCGTGGAATCGCACGATTTTATGCGATTACACCTATTCTACTTAATTGGATTGTTTGGGCCTTATTTTGGGGGTTGGTTCCTTTTTTTGATGGTTGGGCTACAAAACAAAAAGGGCCCAACACACACTTTGGGTCCAAAGTTTCAATTCTTTGACTACCGGACATCGCGAAAGCCTTGGATAGCTACTTGCCTCCTCCTCACAGCTTTTTGAAGTCTAAACAAGTTGTGTTATTAAACTTACTATCTTTGATTGTTTGAACTTTGAAGTTTTGGACTTTGAAATTGTTCTTTTTTTCTTTGTTTTTTTTTTACCCCTGTTTTGGAATCTGTCAATCTAAAAGTTTAAAGACACAGAATTTTGTTTGAATTTTTTTTTTTTGTGCGAGTATGTTGGCCTTGGGGTTGGGAATTTGGGATGTTAGTATGTTACTCTACTTTGTATTGACGCAATTTACATTTCTCTGATTTTTTAATTTTTTATTTTTTATTTGGAATCTGAAAGTTTAAAGCTTCAGAATTTTGTTGGAATTTTTTTGTTTTTTTTTGTGCGAGTGTGTTGAATACTTGAATCTGAAAGGTAATGCAGTGGAAGAAAGTTCCAACTTAAACAAGAAAAAGAAATAAAAGAATAGATGAGGAAACTTAAAAACAAAACAAGGAACTATTCGCCGTGAAGCAGAGAATTTGGTAGAAATGCTGAAAATGACATGGGTAAATTTTCCTCTCTGGAACCACATTAAAAAAAAAAAAAAAATTTACCTTCAAAATTTATGTTCGGCTTTAAAACTCAATCATAATTTGAAATTTAATTTGTAAATAAAGGCATGCATGCATATATGATAATCTGTAATGCAACTACCCAGTTGGATATAGGTTTGGCATTTTGACAGGCACTTTGTTGTTGATTATGAATCACTTAGATTCACTAAAAAATCTTGGCTAATGCAATGCACACACAATTGTCTAGCAGTTGATTTTTTTATGATTAAAGTCTAATTTTAATAAATATTTTGGCATTAGTTTGTAATCTAAAATTATCTTAAACAAACTACTTTTGCACTGATAAGCAAAAAATTTCCTATTTTTCATACAATTGCATTAGAAAGTTAACCTCTTTGCTAAGCAAATTCTTGTATTATCTTTTGTTAGTTTTCATTCATGTTGTTTCTATTGAATAATCTGCTCCTTTTGACAAAAAAAAAAAAAAGAAAAGAAAAAGTACCAGGAGTATAGAAGGTAAAAAAAAGTTTATATTATAAAAGGTAGGAATGGTATTATAAAATAAGAGATGCATTAATAATCTTAGGGACATTCTTATCATTTTTTTTTTTTTTTTTTTTTTACAAGAAAAAGAGAAGTACGTGAGAGTGCAGTAGTAAAAAGAGGAGTGCGAATTAAGTTTTTCTTGCTTCCTCCATTCTGTATATCAAAAACTCTTAGGTCCAATAAACCAATCGAAACAATGAGAATTAGTCTAGACACAACAATGGTTGCACCATGCATAAGTGTGGATAATTCATGAATGCATACCTTCTCAACTTAATTACCAAAGTCATGCTAATTTGTAAGACTCTTAAAGCTTCAACAATAATGCCGGTGTGTTCATGTTGTGAATGGCAGGTACTTTACCAGATGAGATTGGTAACCTTAATCTCGAGTTTCTTTATGTCAATGGAAACACTTTGACTGGCACCATTCCGTTCAAAATATTTAATGTGTCAACAATGAAACGCCTTGCCCTGTCAGACAATTACTTCTCAGGCCATCTTCCTCTGGACATGGGGGTTAGGCTTTCTAATCTTGAATACCTTAATCTGGGTGGCAATAAACTCGGTGGAAAAATCCCAAGCTCTATCTCGAATGCTTCTAGGCTAATCATCATTGGCATGATGTCACGGGCCTAGAGATTTGGCGCAGCGGCACGGCCCGTGCGGCACCAAGGCGTTGCTTCAGCTCGCGCAAGCGCCCTGGTCAGCCACCACGACCTGCCCTCCCAAGGATACATGCTGACTGGTTTCGGCCTGCCATGGCCTCGTCAGGGGAACGGCTCCAGCTCCCGACCAGTTTGTGCAGGGATGGCCAACTCCCTTCTTCATAGTCAAGTCCACGACCAGCGACAAGCACCTCGAACTGAACCGAGTCGACCTGCCTGAACTCTGAAGAGGTACCATCCTGTGGTCCTGCACGCCCCTTCCCTGGAACCATTCCCAGTCAATGAATGTTCTTAGCCAACCAGCATGCGTATCTTCTATGCGCATGGCGTCGTTAGGAATCGGATCGTGACATTCTCCCCCACCCAAATCCTGCGACGCCCTCGTCGCAGTGCAGCGCTGACTCCGCTGCGTCCAACATTCCAAAGCCTGTCTCCTCCAAGTGGTATGCTCGCCTGCCCACCATCGCTTCCTTGTACAACCCCTGGCTGCACTCGCCCAATGATAGGGTTTCGGGCTAAAGGGACGCCCACTTCTTCGGGACGCAACCCCACGTTATGCCGCCTCCGCGACACCCCGAGCAAACAAGCGCCCTCCGGCTGACTTGATACCCGCCCTTCACAACGGTTTGCACGCCTCTTGAACTTGCAAGAACTTTGGTGCGCGCGGCCCTCCGGCCAACCGATGCGCGCGGCCCTCCGGCTTAAAGGACGCGTCTTCATGGGGAGATGGAGGCTCTCCTCCAACAGCATTGATTGCCCACCGACGCTTTAGTGCACCGTCTTCATTCTCAAGACCCCCGGATCGACAAGGGGGCACGCCTTTGTGCTTTTCCCCAAGTCCTGCTCTGATACCATTTGTCACGGGCCTAGAGATTCGGCGCAGCGGCACGGCCCGTGCGGCACCAAGGCGTTGCTTCAGCTCGCGCAAGCGCCCTGGTCAGCCACCACGACCTGCCCTCCCAAGGATGCATGCTGACTGGTTTCGGCCTGCCATGGCCTCGTCAGGGGAACGGCTCCAGCTCCCGACCAGTTTGTGCAGGGATGGCCAACTCCCTTCTTCATAGTCAAGTCCACGACCAGCGACAAGCACCTCGAACTGAACCGAGTCGACCTGCCTGAACTCTGAAGAGGTACCATCCTGTGGTCCTGCACGCCCCTTCCCTGGAACCATTCCCAGTCAATGAATGTTCTTAGCCAACCAGCATGCGTATCTTCTATGCTCATGGCGTCGTTAGGAATCGGATCGTGACAATGAGCTCTAATTCATTCACTGGATGTATACCCAATACGCTTGGTAGTTTAAGATTCTTGCAGTATCTCGTCCTTGGCTCAAATAGTTTGACCAGAGAATCTTCTACCCCGGAGTTGAGACTTTTCTCTTCTTTAATGAATTGCAGACAATTGAAGCAATTGAGCATATCATTAAATCCCCTAAACGGCATACTTCCAAATTCATTGGGAAATTTGTCTTCCTCGCTTCAAGCCTTTGATGCATTTGGATGCCAACTCAAGGGCAACATCCCAACTAGAATCGGGAATTTTAGCAACTTGTATTTCATAGACTTAAGAAGCAACCAACTGACTGGACCTATCCCAAAAACAATAGGGGCATTAAAAAATCTCGAAAGTTTATATCTTCAAAATAATAGATTGCATGGATACATTCCAGATGATTTTTGTCGGTTAAGGAGATTGGGGGACCTACACTTGAGTGATAATAAGCTATATGGACAGATCCCTACGTGCTTGGGCGAGCTTAAGTCTCTCAGATGGCTCTACCTTGACTCCAACAAATTGACTTCCGGTGTACCGCCAAACTTGTGGAGCCTTGAAGATCTATTGGCTATAAACTTATCCTCAAACTTTCTAAGAGGTTATCTACCATTAGATATTGGAAATTTGAAAGTTATAGGATCTATAGACTTGTCAAGGAATCACTTGTCAGGTACAATCCCCAACACCATCGGAGGAGCTCAGTCGTTAGTTTCTCTCTCCTTGGCGCACAATAAAATGCAAGGACCTATTCCTCACTCGCTGGGCAACTTGATAAGCTTGGAGTTGTTAGATCTATCAGGTAACAACTTTTCTGGAGTTATTCCCAAATCCTTGGAGGCACTCAGGTATCTCCAATATTTCAATGTGTCTTTCAACAGACTAAAAGGAGAAATTCCTACGGGAGGACATTTTGCCAACTTTACAGCCAAGTCATTTTGGCATAATGATGCACTGTGTGGTGTACCACGATTGCAAGTTTCCCCGTGCAAAACCAACAAGAATCCGCAATTTGCTATTCTAAAATATGTTTTACCCTCTGTTGCATTTGCAATTCTTGTTGTGGCCTTTGTATTTTTGTTGATGGGACGCCGAAACCAGAAGATCAAATTGCAGACCCAAGCAGATTTGTCTTCTCTTGCATGGAGGAGGGTTTCGTATGAGGAACTTCTACGAGCAACAGAAGCATTTAGTGATACAAACCTAATCGGCATAGGGAGTTATGGTTCAGTATATAAAGGAGTGCTCTTGGATGGGATGAGTATTGCGGTAAAGGTTTTCAATTTGCAACTAGAAAGAGCCTTCAAGAGTTTTGATGTCGAGTGCGAACTAATGCGCAACATTCGTCATCGAAATCTAATTAAAATTATCAGCAGTTGCACTAACTTGGATTTCAAAGCCTTGATACTAGAGTACATGCCTAATGGGAGCCTCGAGAAGTGGTTGTATTCTCACAACTGTTGCTTGGATATCCTCCAACGATTAAATATCATGATAGATGTTGCATCAGCCTTAGAATATCTACATCATGGTCATACAACACCCATTGTTCACTGCGATTTGAAGCCCAGCAATGTCCTCCTCGATGAAGACATGGTTGCACACGTTGCTGATTTTGGAATTGCAAAACTCTTAAGTGAAGGGGATCTTATGGTACAAACCATGACCTTGGCAACAATTGGGTATATGGCACCAGGTGATGTTCCTATTTTATTATTATTATTATTATTTTTTGAAGACATTAAATTCTCCATTCCATGCTATAGTTCGGTTCCAGTTTTGAATTCTTAATTAACGTTAATGTCATGCATAGAATATGGAACGGGAGGAATAGTATCTACAAGAGGTGACGTCTACAGTTACGGTGTTATGTTGCTAGAAACATTCACGAGGAAGAAGCCGACGGAAGAAATGTTTGCTGGGGAGAGCTTGAAGCATTGGGTGAATGAAGCATTAATGGATGGTTCAATCATTGGAGTTGTGGACTGTAATTTGATGGGAAGAGAAGAAGAAGATTTCTCTGTGAAGGAGCAATGTGTATCATCAATCTTGGGTTTGGCCATGGAATGTTCAAATGATTCACTTGAGAAAAGGATCAACATCGAAGAAGTCTTGGTTAGACTCAAAAAATTTAGGGTCTCCTTTCTAGCAAATATTGGTAGGACTAGAATTTAAAAGCAATCAAGATTATTATGTATTAGGTTTAGTAATATTATGTACTTCCCACATTATTTCCTGTTATAGTGAGGCTAATATCTTCTTTTTATTTCACAATTTAATCAAGAAAAAATGTCTCTATATATATAATCAAAACTGAAAAAACTACTTCAATTTGAGCAAACTATGCAAATTGAATTTGAATATTTAAATTCAAAGTCAATTGAAAAAAAAAAAAAAAAACCTACTTCAAATTTTTTTTTTTTTTTTTTCCTAAATAAACCTGCTTCAATTTGCATATTTTGACAAACAAAAAAGAGAAATCAGATGTGGACATGGTGTAATGGAACCCGAATCGTCAAAATGCAACAAAATTAGTTATAGCCTCTCTTTTTTTTTTTTTTTTCAATCTTGCATATAGTGCCCAAAATTTATTAATACACAATTTTTTCTCTTAACATACTTTTTTTTTTTTTTAAAAAAAAAAAAGAAAAAGAAAAAAGAAGAAGGTATTTTTATTGAATTTTTAAAGATCATATAACACGAATAATGATATATTGATGATTAATTCCAAGTCATTGTTAAGAGTGAAGATGAAATAGCAGTATAGATGGGCTAGGGTTCTATTTTAATAGGGATGAATGGTTATAATCTGAATTAAGTTTGGCTCATCTTAAATAAAAGGAGCTCATATTAGGTTTATAGTACGTAGGCTAAGCTTTTATCACATAAAATTATCAAGGTATCTATATAATTTTCATCAACTCCAAACGAGTCTATTAACAAGTTTATTCACCAACATATTCGCAAACATACTAGCCGAGCCAGGATTATTTGAAATTAGTTAGTTAATTAAACAAGATTAAAAAATCTATTTGAAATTGATTCGCGAGTCGAAGTCCAACTGTTTATAGAAGGAGTAAGCTTTTTCATCGTTTTCGTGTCTAGCTCCATCACAAACTTGACCAGCGATCAATTTGCTCTTCTTGCTGTCAGAGACCATATCACTCGCAACCCTGAAGATGTATTGGCTAGTAATTGGTCCACCACTAGCTCTGTTTGCAATTGGGTTGGTGTCTCATGTGGTCTTAGGCACCACAGAGTCACAGCCTTGAATCTCTCTTGTATGGGTCTCCAAGGCACCATTGCTCCTGTAACGACCGGGGTTTTTTAACCTGGTGCGTCAGTGATGAACCAAAAGTTGACCCGATAACGGATCTGAAATGCAAAAGCAAAAGATAAAACCAAAGTCTCTAGGGACATATATCATCCCTAAGACACAAGAGTGACCTTCCATGAAGTCACGGAACTTAAAGAAATAACCGAAAGCGAGAGTTAAAACAAAAAAGGTCAAATGTACCCTGTGGCACCAATGACGGCCAAACGAACGAAATCTAGTTCAAACTAGACTATGTACACCATTAAATAGCTTAAACGAAATGAACAAGGTCCTATTGGAACAAACAAGCAGAGTTAACAAGCCTAAGCAACGAACCAAACAAAACCCACAAGACAGCCCCATTTCGGTCGACCGAAATGGAGCTTCGGTCGACCGAAGTAAGCCAAGAGAAGAAGGGAAATGACCCTTCATTTCGGTCGACCGAAATGACAAACCGGTCAACCGGTTTGTGGCTCGAGACTGAAAATGGCTACTGGAATTGGACTTTTGCTATTCAATTGAAAACCAAAGAGCATCGGTCGACCGAAACAAGCCACCGGTTGATTGAAACAGGTTAAAAATGTGAAAATGAACCTACTATGCACCAACACTGAAAAAGAGACTTTAAATCTCATTTGAATCCCCCATGGTATGATCAAATTGCATTATATGCAAGTGTGTGACGATGTGAACATACACGCAAGTATAATATGACATTTTGAACATGTTACAATGGCCTACGGCCTCATTACGTTTCATTTACAAAATTTGACATGTCAACCATCCAAAGTTAGAAAAGTTACATTTCAAAGGCAAAACTTGAAGTTTAAATACATACACTTGAACTTAAAGGTTTATGGCCCTTGGCCTCATGTCATACATATCAAATAGGTCCCAAATAATGTATCCAAGTACACTTTACATGTCATAAGGAAAAAATGACATAATTGAACCTAACTAAGTGTTACATCTTTATAAGCAAAACTTAAACATGCTAACACTTGCATGTGAACAAGAATACTTTAAATGAAGCTTCAAATCTACGAATCACCCAAGGCAAGTGTAAATCTCCAATCTTGAATCTTGTACCTGAAATATGCCCCAGTAACTTTGGGGTGAGCAACATAAAGCTACTCGTAGGAAATGAGCATGCATCGACCTAACGTTTTACAATTTTAACACCTTAAGGTGAAACATGTTAAAGGGCTCATGCCACCTAACGTCTATGTTAAGGGTGAGACTCAGGGGGCATCCTAAGCTACCCTAGATCATTTCTAGCATAAGTCACATCATTCATGCAATTCAAACGACATAGAAGCATGCTATATACAAGGCAACAAGATATAGATTCTCAAAGTTATATACTTGAAATCTAAAATATGAAAACAACCAAAGTGGGTCATGCCACCTAACGTCTATGTTCCAATGAATTTATAGGATCGTTCCTAAGCCACATTTGAATAACAAAACATGAATCATAATATCTATGCAATCTAACCAACATAGATGCATGCTAAACTAAGCAACAAAACATAGATTCTCAAAGTTATCAACTTGAAATCTAAAATATGAAAACAACCAAAGTGGGTCATGTCACCTAACGTCTATGTTCCAATGAATTTATAGGATCATTCCTAAGCCACATTTGAACAACAAAACATGAATCACAATATCTATGCAATCTAACCAACACAGATGCATGCTATACCAAACAACAAAACATAGATTCTCAAAGTTATCAACTTGAAATCTAAAATACGAGACCAACTAAATATAGCAATTTAGTATAACTAGAATTTCTAATACCACACATTAAGACATAGAGTTTCTAGGTTATCAACTAAAAATCTAAAAGTGCGAAGTCAACTAAATATAGCAATTTAGTACAATTAGAATTTTTAATACCACACATCAAAACATAGATTCTCTAAGTTATCAACTAGAAATCTAAAACTGCGAAATCAACTAAATATAGCAATTTAGTATAATTAGAATTTCTAATACCACGCATCAAGACATAGATTCTCAAAGTTATCAATTTGAAATTTAAAAGTGCGAAATCAAAAAGTGGGAGACTTGGACATCACGCTCGGAATTCTGCCGAGACCTCAACGGTTAGTCCGGGCACTAACCTGCTGGGAAGACCACCTTAGTGTGCACTATCTAAACGGGGAGAACTCATACCTCCCGCACTAGAGCCAAACTCTAGCCATATCACAGTAATAATGTCCCAAGTGACTCCAAAATAGATAAGTTAACAACTTATATACATATTAAATGGTACACGAAACTATCTTCATGCACAAGTAGGTTGAAACCACACAATACATGCTCTAAATCCACAACTACTATAGGATGACAAATGTCAAATCTTCAGAACGCGATTCGTTACGCGCTATAATAACATCACATGTCGAATCTTCAGTGTGCGATTCGTTACACGCTATAACAATATAATTCAATATTGAAAGCATAATTTATAAATCCATTACAAGTCTAAAATCATGCTTCAAACATACTACCAATATTATATACATGATTAAATCTTCAACGCAATAGAAACAGAAATTAATTACATAACCTAATTAATTTCTCTAAGTTTCAAGTCTCGATTTAATGATCCCTAATTAACACATATTATACAACATAGCATGGTCATTACATATACCACATGAAAAACTTAATTAGGTCATTAAAACAATATGGTGGAATTTAATTAAAACATGATAATTAAATTCCTAGATTCTAAAACAACATCGAACGGTCCCAATTTAACATATGCTAGTGTACAAGTCCTAGTCATCACAATTATCAAATCAAAAACTTGATTAAGCCGATGGGACCTTTGAAATAGATTTTAATTAACCATTTTAAATAAAATCTCTAGATTTTCATACTCATCCAAATGCTCTCAAATTAAAGTATGTTAAACAATATACCAAGACTTAATTTAAAAGCATGTTACAAATTAATTTCATGCAAGGTACGTCCATGAGAATTAAACTTTTACCAAAGATAATTATTAAATAAAAGTGCAATTCTTATTCAAATAATTCCAATTTAATATATATTAACAAACATATCAAATCCAAACTTTCTAGCATACCACAATTTAATTCTAAGTCATACATCATCATGAGAATTAAATCCTAACCATAGAAATTAATTAAATTAAACTCTAGGACATAAACCAAAGCATGCATATAAGTTGTATAATCATGAAAAACACTTAATACAACACATACAAAATCCTAAAACATCCCCCACCTCCATTTGAGATGAATCTCAAATCCCAACCAAAATGAAACGGCTCCAAATCCAACGAAACTTCTAGGTTTTGTCGGGGACAACACGATGAACAAGAATCCCAAAGAAGCCCCATCAAAATCATAACTTGACCTCAAACCCGAACTCAAAATTTGGCCAAAAACGGGTTCTAATTAGGGGGAAAGGTAGAGCACGGCAAGACGAACATAAAACGCTAAGGCACTACACCTTTTTACTAAAGGGAAATGGCAGAAAAATGAAGAAGAAGGGTGGAAGCCCCTTGGCTGCCATCGCTGCCGGCCAAGAAAGAGGAGAGAGAGAGAAAAATCTGATTTTTCATCTTAAGACCTCCTATTTATAGAAAAACCCTAAAAGTGTCCCGAACGGGCCCCGCCAGGTCCGGAAAAGTGAAATTTGAGCAGACGTGCTCAAACGGAAAAACTCCGTGAATAAAAAAGAACCAAAATGAGAAAAGATAAACAACGGAAGAAACGACGTCGAAAACTAATTTCCGAGCAGAAAGATATGCCCCAAACAAGTTTGGCGGCAACCGGGGCCAGAAACCCTAAAACTGAAGAAAAACCACCAGAAGGAAATTCTAAGAGTACATGACTCAATGAAAAGTGAAAATGAATCCCGCACGAAGATCCAGGCTGAAAATGAGGCATTTGCAATAATATTTGTTAATTGCACAATGGCCCCTCCAAAAAGTGGAAACTGCGAACTGCCCCAGAATGAAAATATCTTCCAAAAATATTTTTTAAAAACCCCTGAAATAAAATATCTTCAAAAGATATTTACGAAAAACACC